CTCAGCCAGGAAAGTGATGGTGTATTAACATAAGCTTTTTGCCTGAGTAGTGGAATGTTTTTGTGCTTATAGTTTTTTCTGCATATCTATCCCCCATCAGCAGATGGTATTTATCTGTGAGATAGTTAGTTGTTAGCCATCACCTAACTTCTTCAGCCTAGATTTTGTATACTTCGGGTCTCCACCATAGTAAGAAGTAAGTGAATGTGTTCATTGAAGTATTTCATCTTGGCAATATTGGTATTTCTGTAACACTGATAGAATTGTAAATTGTTGCTTAAATTGAAAAAAATTAAAATAATTATTATTTTGAGCACTTTATTATGTGGCAAACATATAAGAATATTTTAAATCAATTATATTTTTAAAGTAAGTGGTGTGGAAGCATAGCTCAGTGATGGAACATTCAGTTAGCATGCATAAAGTCTTGTGTTGCACTCCCAGCACTGGAAAAAAAGTTAAAATACAAGTTATACCTCTGGGCTGGGGAGATGGCTCAGTAGAATAAATGCTTCCCTGGCAAGCGCAAGGGTCTGAGTTCAATCCCCGGTTCCACCAAAAATAAAAATAAAAAACCCTTCTTTGGGGCCGGGGAGATGGCTCAGTAGAATAAGCACTTGCCTGGCCAGTGCAGGGGCCTGAGTTCAATCCCCAGATCCACGAAAAAAACACCTCAAAACAAGTTACACTACTTGTATTTATATATATATACACACACACACACACACACACACACGCACACACACACATGCACCCATACATATAGAATTTTAAATTATTTTTAGTTCTTTGAGTAAGTCTCTTGGTCTCCAATTCAATTTAGGTTAATTTTTAGATCTTATGTTTAAATATCAGTTATATTCCACACATACATACAAACTGAGGAAATGCACAGTTTTTGGTTTTGAATATATGTGATTCTGGAATTACACTGTCATATGTATATCTGAAATTAGTTCTTAAGCTATTTATTTATTTTTGCAGTCCTGGGGATTGAACTCAGGACCTTATTCTACTGAGCTATCTCCCAGCACAGTTCTTATACTTTTTAAGAGAAGGATTTTTAAATGTGGACATTCCCAGAGAAGTTAAAGTTTTTAGGAATGTGAATTATTTTGTGATAGAAATTTAATGCATGAACAAATTGCAGCTGAGGTATACAGAAGCTGCTTTTCTGTTTGTCAAAGAGGAAACATTCTGAAGTCGTCTTTAGTTGAAGGAATGAGCTCTGTTTATTTGAAAGGTAACTTTTGTTAGACTGAGATAAATTATTTAATGTGATTTATACTTTAAAAGCTAGCACCAGCTAATCATATTCAGTAGAACTTGTTGGAATTATAAGCTTTCCACCTCCAACTTAAAAATTGGTGATGAGCTAGACTTGTGGCACAGGCCTAAGATCATTGTGCCCAGGAGTTTGAGGCCAGCCTATGCTACATTGAGAGACTCTATGCCTACAAAAGAAGAGAGAGATGATAAACATGCTTAAGTTCTAATTCTTATTTTATGCTTATTATAAATAGTTATGTGTGCTTAAAATATAATCCAGGTTCATCTTGTTCAGGGTACAGAATCATTTTCAAGGTGTTGAAATGATGTAAGGAGTGGGAATAGAAGAAAGTAAAGGAGAGAAAAAGTTTGCTTCTCTGCTTTTGCTAAATTAGGATAATTATTTATAAATTATTTAAGGTACAAAAGAATGAAAGTTACTTAGGGTAAAACCACTACTTTCAGAACCTCTAAGTCCTTGGTTCCCTGACTCCTGTTTGTATCACCCAGACTTCTACTACATGTTGCCCTACCATAGGCTTAAGTCTGAACACCACTTGAACCAAAATGCTTTTCTTCCTATTTTGTTTCATCTTTTAAAATCAGCTTTATTGAGATATTACATAACATAAAGTTCACAGGTTTAGTGTGAATTTTATTTTTTAAATGTTTGTATTAGTATGTGTTTGCAGTACACAATGATAACATTCATTATGGATGCATTTGCAAAATATCTGTCTTCCTGTTTGCTATTTGTACGTATGTGGTTTCAGTTACAAGGAGTGTAGCACTTTGCCATCACAACCACCACAGTCATACAGAACATCTCCCTTGCCCCAGAAAGATTTGTAATCATCAATTTAGACTCAAGCCCTCCTCCCAGCCCTGCTCTCTGTCCTTGGTTTCTGTATCTGCCTTCTCTCTTGTGTTTTCGGTCACATCACATATAAATGAAGTAATACATTATAATCTTTTGTTTCCTATTATTTTCATCTAGAATAATAATTTGGAGATGCACCTATAATGTGTTCACAGTAGTTCATTCCTTTCTTTTGCTGACTAGTGTTCCATCGTGTGATACATCGTTTGTCTGTTCACCATTAGTGTATTTGGGTTGTTTCCAGTTCTTGGCTGTTACTAATGCTGTCACTGTGAACATTTAGTGCACGTCTTGGTATGGCTTGTGCAGGTCCAAAGAGGAAAGACTGATTTTAGATGTAAAATTGTGTTCCTCTGTATCTCAGTTACTCTTCTCTTGTTGCTGGGATAAATACCCAACACTCAAAATGAAGGAAGGAAAGGTTTATTTAGCTGACAGTTACTGGAGGTTTCAGTCCATATTCAGCTGGGTCCAAGGCACGCGCGTGCGTGCACACACACACACACACACACACACACAGAGCAGAGAGCAATCTTTCAGGTAGCAGCAAAGAAAGAGCCAGAGTGCAAAGGGAGAAGTAGCAGCTGCTGAAGCAGCTAACTTCTCTTTCTTCCTTACATTGAAATGCAAATTACCTGCCCCAGAGCAGTTGCAGCATCCACACCTACAACCATCACAAACTCCAGAAGCTGCCCCAAGACTGCGTGAGGCTTTGGGGGGGACAACTATACACAAACCATAGCACTCTGTTTTGGTAGGGAAGATTTTTAAAGCCCCTGTTAACCCAGAAGTTTAACGTTTTAGAACAAATAATCACCCATGTAGTCATCTTTCATTCCTTACCTACTCCCTCCAAAAACTGGACCTCTCCTAAAACAGTAAGGCTTATCTAAAGCTTTATCTTGCAAGTGTGGCAGACTTCAGACAGGTCACTGAATCTTAGTGGTGATGCACACTCTTTGCCTTTTTGCTCAGTCTTACTGCTTCAGAGCTGCTTTCATTTCTGTACCACCTCCGTGGTCATCAGGCTTAGGGCTTAATGCCACTGAAGTTCAGGCAAGCGCAGAAAAAGCTATAGTGCAAGGCCTTTGCTTCATGATGTCCTGTGTTAGAAAGGTGTAGTTGAGTTGCATGACCTTGTTGACTTGACTGATTTAATGAATGCCTGTGAAGTGAGCTATATTTTGTGACTCTCACCTAGATGTTATAATTGCCTTGGCAGGTATACCATAAATGTTAATTCAGGAAGTAAGCGCCTTTTATAAACACACACACTCTCACACTGTACTTTTTAAGTTTGGTATTTTACATTTAAAAATGACTTAAATATCAAGTTTGGATTGGTCAGATTCATTCACAGTGTGAGTTTTTCTGACTTTTATTACAGTGTCATCTACCTGAAGTATTCAGGGTATTGGGAGTTTAAATATAAATCAGTGGGAAAAATCTGGAAAGCAAGTATAGAAGTCTGGCAGTGATAGTGACGCATTACTGATTATAGTATCTTTTCCAGGTCCTACGCAGTGACTGTGTGCTTCCTCATCTTTTTACTGATACTACAGTTTTGTTTCCAGTATTTTCTGTGTGTATTACTGATCATTAGCTCTTGTTATGATTCTGTTCTATCTAGTATAACTAGAAATTAATGTGATGTGGATTTTGATAGGAAGATACTATTATATTCCCAAAGAAAGAAAAACAAGTGTTCAGGTGGAAAAACTGGTCTCCAACAGCAAGTTAACAGTCATTTGGGGAAAGTTGCAATAGAATAACAAGGCTCAGAAGTCGAGCTGCTTTTGTCATCAGATGCCACGTGTCGTTTGACACTCATATTTGATATTTTAAACCAGACCACAGTTTATTATAACTTACTGAATAAATAAATAATCATCAAGTTTAGATTGCTTTTACATTGAAGGTTGATTGTGGGGCTGTAATATGCAATCTAGTTTTGTAGTTAGATATTCAGAATTCTTACAATATCAGGTTCAAATATTTGTCTTTCAGGTTTTGTTATGAAATAATTTAAATTTATAGAAAGCTATAGTGACACAAATAATTCATTTTTTGTTGTTAAAATCTTTTATTTTTTTGGTACAGGGGCTCGCTGTACAGCTCGGGCTCATGGTGGTCCTCCCCTCTAAGCCTCCTCAGTGCTGGGATTTCAGGCATGTACCACCATGCCCGGTTTCAGTGGCCTGCATGGCATACAGTACGGAGAATCAAACCCTTATGCTTGTGCTTGCCAGGCAGGCGCTTAGACCACTGAGCTATTTCCCCAGCCCACAAATAATTTCTGTGTGCCACTTAACAAGTTCTGCCTACTATTATTTTGCCCAATTTGTTCTGTCAGATTATTTTTCAAATCCATGAAAGTTGTATGTGTTACATCCTTGTTCAGGCTGGTGCGATAAGCTTTCATGATAAATGTAGTAACAGGACAAGATACTCATAGTTCCTAGTCAGAAGCTGTCACAGGGTTATACTTGAGACTCTCAGGGCTCTGCAGTATTTATAGATGTTCTTTAGTTTGTGGTGAATTAGCTAACCTTTAGAAAAACTGAAAAGTACCTAGTTTTGCTTATGTTGACTATAAATGATTATATAAATAATTTTTGCTTATCTAGCCCGTGGCTTGGTATAGAAAAATGCATAGGTTTAAAGTATATATTGTTACTTTTTTACGTTAGTGTCAAAAACAAATGGTAGAATTTTTTTATTTCTTAATTTTACTTCTGTGTCCCTTTTATATAGCTATAATAGTGATCACTCCTTAGAATTTGAGATGATTAAAATGTGGCACATAATGATTTTAACTGTCTCAACTGTTTTCATGTTAAATCTGTTACAGGAATGAATCTGAAGTCTGCTGCAGTAAAACACTGAAGGCTTTAAAATGTTTTCTTGCATAAAACTCAAACTTTAGCTGCATATGAGGATAGGGAAGGCAGGAAGCTAATGTCTGTCTCAAGATACAGGACAGCTGTTTGCTCATCAACCTCCGTGTGAGTAGAGACTTAAGCCTGTAACCCTGTGTCTTTGGACGTAGAACTTCATTATTTTAAAGTCTGAAGTGCTTGCAGATACACCTAAGTTAGCGTTATAAGACATTCTTGAGGGTCTGTGATTTTTGTTTTCTGGTGGGTAGGGTGCTGAGGGTTTAGAGGGTGGTAGATTGGTATTTATAAAATATTGTCATGTAGTTATACTTAGAGCTGATGTCATTAACTACTGCTTGTCTTTTTTTTTTCAAATTTATTCTAAGCACTGGAATCTGCACTATTACTTTTTATTGTGAGATAGATTATAATTCTTTAGATTGCAGTTTATTTCTAGGTGACCTTAGCCCTTTAAAATGAATATTTTGATCAATGAACCATAATAAATTATTTTAGGAATGTGGTATTAGTGTGGAGAATTAGTGAATAATAACTGAAAATAAGTTTTTAATTTCATCAGCAAGTGATGAAATTCACAATAAAGGCACTTTTGTTCCTAAATGTAGTAGACATGTTTTAAACTTGCCAATCTTATATTTAATAGTCCTTTGATAATATAAATCCTTATTGAAGAAAAGCAGTCCTATCTTGCCAGTTTTTCCCTCTTATTAAAAGTTATCACTTCAAGAATGCATTTGGAAAAGTATCTTTTTGTTTTTTCTATGTTAGTCATTTTTTCCCTTCTTTTTTCCTTTTTTTCCCCCGCTCTCATTTAAAAATAAGAGGGGTGGGACCAGGGAGATGGCTCAGCAAGAGCATGAATTCAATCCCCAGTTCCGCAAAAAAAAAAAAAAAAGTAAAAACTTAAGAGGGGGAAGAAAAGAGGACATCCCCCCACTTTAAAGGCTATGCATTTTATACTGGTGGGATCATTAAAGTGTAAAATGTTGTACTGCACAGGACGATGAGAGTGTAGATAAAATTTATAAAATTGTGTTAACTGCTTACTGAGGTATAGGATAAGGAGGATGTTGCTTGCATGTTGCATTTATACTTAAAATGAGCTTACTCTTGTTAATATCACAAATGTGTTTTCTAAAGGAGTGGTCGAAATGGATTATTTGTAGAATCAGTGAATGAGAAGACAGAAAACAGGCAAAGAATACACATTGTGGATATTCTTAGGAAGGAGTCAAAGGATGCATGGACCACTGAGTCTGTACTGCGTAGCGAGGCCCTGTACCAAATAAATAATAAAAGTTAAAATTAAATTAAAGGTGAAAGAAATCTTTGGGATGTACTAATGAAACTTTGATTTTTAAAATGAGATTAAACAAAAAGAACACAATAAGAAGAGAAGCTTTCATAATTATAGAGCAGTTGGGGAAAAGTTGTATGATAGCTAATTGGTCTTATACTTCACTTTCTCCTTTATCTCTCTGAGATGATTCTCTGTGTTCTATATTACTCCTCAACCGAGGGCACGGAGAAAAGTGCTAAGAAGTTAATTTTACGGGGATAGAAAGTACAGGTATGTGTAGAGTATTTGAGCACCGTAAGTAAAACTCTTCCACTACTCTTTCCCTCTGTCCTGTCCTGCCCTTTACCTTGTCAGTAGTGAGGTTTCTTACTGATGGACCCACTTCTGTGACATAATCTTACTTCAGCTTAAAAGTGCCTTTTAGCTGCCTAGTTTCTGCTGTGTTATGTGGTGTGATTAAGACAGAGTTCCTGGGCAGTGCCAATGCCACAGGGTGAACTGAGCAACGGCTGTGGGTCAGCCACCTGCTGCAGCTCCTGTGTGCCCCTTTTAATAGCCAGGTCATATTGAGCAAATTACTTACATTGTTCTGTGCCTTGGGTTTCTAATTTGTAAAACAGAGGAGTAATCTGCTGATAGGGTTGTTGTAAGATTGAATTGTCAGAACATAAAAGTTATGATTTTTATTATTAAATCTGTTTCTTCTTTGAAGAGGAATACTAAGTAGCTTTTTTTGGTACCAGGGATTGAACTCGGGACCTTGTACTTGTTAAGCAAGCTCTTATGCTGCTGACTGTACCTGGCCCCTAAATAGCATGTTTTAAATCCTCCATGCGAGAGATATTTTTTATACTCAGGGTCCAGCTCAGGGCTTAGTACCTGCCAGGTGACCATTCTACCAATGATCTATATCCCTGGCTGCAAAATAATAGATTTTAAGGCTTTAGAACTAAGAATTTAGAAATCACAAATTCTCAATATCAGTTAAAGTATAATGAGAAATATCCCTAGCAGAGCAGAATAGACATTTTTCTTTATCCCCCAACATTCTGTTCACTTCTCAAGCTATATGTAGTTTAATGGCTACTGTACTGGATAGTGCTGTTCTAGATCATTAGATAACTAGACAGTGCAGACACACTAAGCTTGAGCATACTGGTGACAGCACACAGAAGATTGGGCCTCATACCAACTGTAACCCCATAAAGGAAGAGAAAAAGAAGAAATATTTCTTTAGGACTCTTGGTTAGGTGTATTTTCTCTAAGTTTTAATAAAAGTTATTTCTAGGCTAGTTAAAAAGTTCATTGTAATATAGTTTTGGTTTTTTGTTTTGTTTTGTTTTGAGGATCAAACTCAGGACCTTGTGTTTGCCAGGCAGGGCTTATGCCACTGAGCTATATCCCTGGGCCCAATATAGTTATTGACAGTTTAGTCAAGCAAATTGCAAGTATTGAGGTCTATCAGCTGTGACTTTTGGGATCAAAATAAGCCATTTGCTTTGTAGAAATAAAAACTAATGTTTATATTTAGCTGCTAGTAGAGTGCTTGTTAATCTAGAAACACCCTTGAAGACTGACAGTATAAAAGGTAGTGCAATGGGCCAGGGAGATGGCTCAGTAGAATAAGTGCTTGCAAGGGCCTGAGTTCAATCCCCAGTTCCACCAAAAATTTAAATTTAAATTAAAAAAAAAAAGGGTAGTCCGGTAGAGTCTTTCAGGAAGGCCTAGGTTTCCTTTCTTGCTTTTATTGTAAGAGAATCTATTATCTGTTTTTGGATTGTGGTAAAATAGTCAATTTTAACACTGATAGTCACAAGTAGTGTGTGTTTAGAAATATCGTCTTAGGAGAAATCAGGGGTAGAAGTGTTGTCTTAGGTTTTCAAAAAAAATCACTGTTGAATAGATTTTAATCAGGGACCAGAACACCTGGGAATAGAATTATTTTAACTGAAGAAAGAAAAAAGGAAGAATGTTAAAATTTAGGAGAAATTATATGAAACTAAATTGCCAGGTTAGAGTAGTTACCACATTGGATTTTTAATTTAGGGAAAAAGCTTTTAGAGTACTTTCTGTAGTGAGTTTCGGTGACCTGTAAATATTCAGAGCCTCTCAGCTCTGCGGTAGGGCAGCCAGTATCTATCTTGTCTTAGATTGGCTTACTGTTAATTTTTTTTTAAATTTTATTTATTTATGTGTGTGTGTGTGTGTGTGTGTGTGTGTGTGTGTGGCCAGCTCAGCCCACCAGGGGGCGGGCTGGCTGGCATGTGGTGGCTGGGGGATTGAACCATGGTCCCTGGGCTTTGCTAAGCTTGTTCTAAGTAGGTGCTCTAGACCACTGAGCCATCTCACCAGCCCCTTACTGTTAATTTTTAGGGGTTTGGTTCTAATCAGGGACTCAGAGTTTTCAAATCTTTAACCACTTGAATTCAAATGAAATCTTTTGACAGAAAGCTGGTATATAAAAATACCAGAAAGAATGTTCTCATTGGTAGCCTATATACTAAAAAATGCCAGAAAAGAACTTGCATTTGAAACAGATTTTGGCCTGATCTACCTGGTCATTTTGTTTCTCCTTATCTTCTCCCCTCTACCTCAGCCATCGTTGATAGAACAAAAGCACTTAGAAGAAATAATCTTTATGGAGGGTCAACACCAGCGAACATGAATAAGTCTCCATATCCTTAGATGCCTTAATATTTTCCTTTTTAACTTTTGTTTCCTAAGTTGGCCATGATACTATTGTTTTGTATGGAAAAGTAAAGCCAAAAAACAACCCCAGAAAGTTACGCTTTTACTTTACAGACGTCATTGACCATATCGAATCATGTTATATCTTAAAGACTGAAAAATGAATGCTCTTACGTTACCTGGATCAAGCTTTAATTGTACCTCTCCTGAGAGGTTAGTTTTACTTTTCTATGGAGTATCGTGCCTCTTAACTAGTACTGTACTCGTTTGTATTAGTAGTTAGGAGGAACAAAGTCAACTGAATGGCTTCTACTGGTATTTGGCAAATAGGTCCTCGTGGCCATATTGCACTTGGTCAATTGACAGTTTATCTGGTTAATTTTTCCTGCTATTTCCTTTTGGATTGCAATTTCCACTACCTTTAATGTTCCTATGCAGTGTACATTTTTTAAAGTCACCTTGAATGGTTTTCAGAGCTATACAAATTATATTTAAAAAGAAGAATGTCATGAAGAGCACTTGTTAGATCCTCCTTCCTTCCCATTGCTTGCTGATTTCAATGTAGACTCTTTAGCATGATACTAAGCTTACATCGTGTAACTTTACTCTCTTTCCTTTTTTTCCTTATTCTCTTGAGACCTGGTCTGTTACTACATAGTCCAGTTATCCTCAGACTCTACCTCACAGTCCTCCTATCTTGGCTCCCAAGGGCTGCCATTCCAGTTGTGCACCGCCATACCTGGTTCTTAATCTCTTCTCAGATCCTTTCCCCTGTTATGTATTCCAGACACACAGAATTCTCTTTCCATTGAACTACATGGTCACCACATGTCAACAACAAGGGTACATTCTGAGAAGTGAGCTGCTGGGTGACTTTATCAGTGGGTGCACAGAGTGTACCCAACATGCACTAGGCAGTTCTGCCTTAAGGCTGGATAATGTTACGGGACGTCTGTTGCACATGGGCTTAGTCACTGACCAAAACATTGCTGTGTGATATTTGGATGCAGTCTGGTGTAGAAGGATGATTTTGCAATTTTAACTCCTGAGTGTAAACATTCAGAATTGTTTTTGGCAGATAACCAGAATAATTGGTATGTCATTTTATAAATGTTTG